CCTGCATGATTTGAAATTGGAATATTTAAAGGACTGTATTCTCCTGTCTGAGCCTGCTTCCAGGAGAGTTTAGTCTGACCTCCACCCTGTTGCCATCACCCCAAAAAGTAGACAGATTTTGAGCCGTTGTGAAGGATAAGATTTTTTTTTAAATTCAGGCACAATATCTTTTCATTATACTTTTAATTGATGTAGTATTAAAACTTTTTAATTCAACAATGCTCTAATATTATAACTTGCTTTATTGATTTTAATGTTATGGTTTGCTGTAGAAACATGTTGTGTAAACAAGTTGCACTTCACTTTGGGTAATAGTTCAAGTTTAAAAAATGGCTTTAAATCAATATACGTAAGTACATAAATAGGAATATTAATCTCTCTTGATCTTTGGAACAATTCTCAGAAAAAGAATCAGGATTTATCATTCAAAATAGTGTATTAAGTTGGCTGGATAGTTTGGCTTAGGTATCTGACTATGAAGTCAGAGATTGGAGACTTTGATTCCTCACTGTGCCTCCTGAGAGAAGAGCCAGTCTGGGTAGCCGTGGGCAAGATGCACAGTCCAGGATGCTCCCAGAAGAAGGGAATGGTAAACTTCTGAATATTCTGTACCTGAAAAACCTTGAAAAGGGTCTCCATCAATCTGAATTGACTTTATAGCAGATGATAATTATTAGTACAGTATTAAGATTTCAATATAAGAGATTTGTTCTGTTTCTCATTGATTTAATAATTTTGTGTGCCATCAAGTCACATCTGATTTCTATCGATCCTCTTATGGTTTTCAAAGTATGTAAGATATTTAAGGAGTATTATTACCATTACCATCACTCAGTGAATTTCTGAGGCAGAGCAAAGATTCAATCTCAGATCTTCTGGGTCCTAGTCTATGGCTCTGCCTGCTATATACCACACTGACTATCGTATGAATAATAGAGACATATAACTGTGAAGTATAAATACATATAAATACACCACTAAGAGCACAAGTGAACTAGCAGCACTTGTCTGTATTCCAGTGACAAGGCTGCCACAGTGTATATGGTCTGTTGGTGAGCCTGTCCACAGAAAAGATATGGTTTCTGTAGATGAACCTCAGCCTTCACTGTTGAGGCCCTTTAGCCTATAAAGAACTGGAATTTCTTCTAGAGAGTGAATGGAATTTTCCAGATGTTTTTATTGGCTTTTAATGATGTAAAAAATGATATGTCGCCTTGGGTCCTTTTTAAAGAGAAAGATGCTCCCAATAAATTTATTGGGAACAGGAGGCACTCTTTCTAACAGCCAGTGATTTTTCTACCAGCAGAAGATATAATTTTACGGACATGCTGTTTTTCTTGGTTGCATTTTTATAAAACCTTCACCCTAAATAGGATTTCATATTACAAAAAAAAGAAAAGATATTTAAAAGTCAAATATTCAGCATAATAAAAACATCATAAAACCTGAACATAAATACAGTAAAGCTGAGAGCATGGCAACTATTTTAACCAGCCAAAAATGCAAGTTAAAATGTTAAAATTTTAAAATGATTCCAGACAAAAAAAGTCTTTGATGCCACAACAAACTGTACACTGTTTACATCGGGCTTACCTCCTAAAGGAGAGTATTTCAACCTGGGTCAGCAGTATAAAAATAGCCCTCTCTTCTTGGAGATGAAAACCATATTTCTCTTATTGATGAAATATGAAGAAGAGCCTATGGGGTGCACTGCTTTTTTACATACTTGTTGTTGTTCTCGATTCTCAGAGAAAAATGGAGCTGCTGTACTTACTATTGAATTTCTGTTCTTTCCAAGTGAAGGTGGATATTTAGGGCTAGAGTTACTGTATTTTTTGCACCATAAGACTCACTTTTTTCCCACAAAACAGGGGTGTGGAAAGTCTGTGCGTCTTATGGAGCGAAAAATACGGTATCTTGTATCTGTCTAACTCTCTTTTAGAAGTACTGCAGTTTAAGAAGAAGCAGTCATGATAGTTTATGCAAGAATATAAGCCAAAACCCAAAGAAAATAATAATAATAGAAATAATAAAATATAAAAATAGAATATGTTAGCTACTCCAGCATCATAGTTCAAACGTTTTGCACATTGTGCGCATACGCATACAGAGTCACACACAGAGAGAACTAATTAGCACTTCTGAAAGAGTTTTTCTGGATTTGTTTGAGGAATGGAATCACTGAAATATATATACACATTTATAAGACTATCAAGCAGAAGTATTTGAACAAAGTGTTTTCAGCTTCCACCTTCTTCATGTCTTATACAGTATGAATTGAGTTTGAACTCATTCTTTTTACAGCCTTTCCCCCTTTTTACAGTTCTTAATTTTAAAAAAATATAATTTTAACATTAAAGTTTAATGTACTGCACTTTTCCTGGAATATTATTTGTGCCTGATATATATATACTGTTTATATACTGTGTTTCTCTATCTATCTATTTACAAAGGGATTCTTGTAGAAGTCTGTAGTTCAATATCTAGTAAGTGAGTATATGGTTATCAGTGCATTTAAAATAATATTTTCATCTATTCTGTTTTTCTTAGGAACTTACCAACAGTTTCTTTAAAAGAAACTTTTCTTGATTCTGTTTATAGTTTGACTAAGTTGGTTTCCCCCCCCTTTGCCAAACTGCCACCAACTGGCAAAGCAGGATATCCTCTTAATCTTATCATATGGTCAAATCTGCTGAATACAGGATGTCTGAAAGCTACTCTTTATCAAAAAGCTGGATAGTAATCTCTGCTGGCTACACAGCAGATCCTATAATTGAAAAGAGAAATGTCCTCATCTTTTTGTCTGAACAAATACAGTCCTTAAAGCTGCACTGAGGCCAGTTGTCTGTGATTAAAATAATGCAATACAAGTGCCTTTTCTAGGCTAATAAAAATCTTCAGATTGTGTAATTGGGTGAGAAGTTAGGTGAGGTACGTATTTTAAAGTAGCTAGCTAATTTTCTCCTACATTAGTAGCAGTGTCTCGCAGTGTTTATATTTTGTACAAATATGTCCAAATTTTGAATTGTGCATATGGTCTCAAGTTTCTGAACTATAATGTCACAATATTTTCAGTTACTTGCCTGATCACTCTAGATGATTGAGAATTTCACCCGGTTAGATGAAGAGGCTGAAAGAACAATTGACTGTTCTGCTAATCAGGGTTGAGAGGAGGGTTTTTTGTTTGTTTGTCCTGCCCAGTATAGAAACGAAATCAAAAGAGGATGGAGCACTTAGGCCTTCCTTCTCTTGTTGTGCACATCCACTGCAGGATCAAGGGAGTTGTTGGCAAAGGTCTGTCCACGGAACATGATCTCCAGAAGACATAATAAAGTATTTCACCAGCATATTCATTCATGAGCACATGGAACACTGATGTGAAGTGGAAGTTTTGTGTTCCTTGGTCCATATTACTTGGCTAATCAGAACTGGCTGGATAGCTCAGTGGTTTAGGTATCTGGCTGCTGAGCCAGAGGTTGGAAGTTCAGTTCCCCACTGTTCCTCCTGTGAAATAGAGCCAGCCTCTGTGGCTCTTGGGCAAGCTACATAGTCCCAGCGAACCACTTCTGTGTATTCTCTACTGAGAAAACCCTAGAAAGAGTTGCCATAAGTCAGAATTGACTTGATGGCACATGATTAATAATAATAACCAGAGGTTGGTGTTTCTTTTCTTAAACTGAGCAGAAAAGAGAGTTTTGTGCCCACCCGTACACTGGGTGCATATACAGAGAGAAGACAAATAAGTCTCAGTGATTCATACTGTATATGGATCCAGTCATTGTATGGGAAGGGATTTTATCGTGATTGTCCAAAAGTTGTTGTAAGGATGCCAAGGGAAATCACGTGATTAAGAAATTCTCTAATGCTGCATTTTTGTAGTTATATAGCTTTAAAATTGGGTGTAAAAGTGTTTTTCCATTTTTTGTTGGAGATTGTTATTATTTTAGTTGTAATGTATGGATATATTTTTGCTCTGTACAACTGTGAGCTGCCCCTGTGTCCCCTTCCATGACGATACAGAATGTTGCTTCAGAAATAGGCTCTTTATTAGGAGCAACAAAACTTTAAAGGGCCAACAAGGCCAGTAACAAAAAGAACATTCAACTAAGGGTGCCACTTTCTCAATCCTTGGGAATCTGTCAATTTGTAGCCTTTATTGGGAGGTTAGGAGCCCTGCCTTCTCTACCAGATCTGGGACCCCCCCCCTTGTAGGTGGGCCAGTCAAGAGGTCCCACAGCAGGGGTGCTGGATGCAGGCCATTAAGTGTCCCTGCAGATGAGCAACAAAGGCTCCCTCTCCTGCCACTCCCCTTTGCTTTCCACCAGCTGCTGTCAGTCCATAGGTCTGGTAGTCCTCTTTGGAGGCTCTTGCAAAATCCATGCAGAACTGGCTAGTTTCCCCAGGAGAATGGGTTGGAGAATGTGGAGAGGCAAAGCAAGGCGCTCCCTGGGGCTCACAAGGAAGATACCTGTGGGGGATCTCCGATGGAGCCACTTGCCCCTGGCACTTCTGGTGGTGATGGTCCTGGCAATGATTCTTGAGCCTTCAAGCCTCTCAGCGCCAAGCCTGGTCCTGATGGACTTGGGTGGCTTCCTCTGGAAATACCAGCAGCTGCACCCAATCCCTGGTCTCAGGGTCTTACCTGCAGACCACCTCCCATCCAGCCTTTAATTTCTGCAGTATTGGCAGCGTCTGCTGAGCCTTGTATGCATCACAGTCCATGGCATCAGCCCAACGATCCTCCTCCTCATGGTCACACTTTTGGCCTCAAGGATTTCATTTGCCTGTGCTCTGCCAACAGCCCAGTCCACAGGTGAGCTGTAAGTGGGGAATCTGGCCAGCATTGTCCAAGGGGTGGACCACCCACCCTGACAGTTGGGGGAGGAGCAGCTCTGCTGATCCCACAATGATGTAAAGCCTCAAAGCTTTAAAATTTTAGATAGATTGTCGTATGTTAAGCAGCTTGTGGATGTATTTCTAATAGTCTTGACTTTGTTTAGAACCAGATGATCAAAGAATTTGAGGCTCGTGTCCATCAGTTGACTGTGGAAGCAGAAGCCAGTAATTTGCAGCGTCAGAAGTTATCTCAAGAAAAGAGCAATCTGGAACAATCCTACCAGGCTGTATGCATAGAAATTGAAGAAGTCAAAGCAAGGTACTAATGAAGTGGTTTTTCTTTGTAAAACATTAATTTTCAGCCACTATTAATTGAAGAATAATCACCAATTTATGCATTGACTTTAATGAACATTTGACATGTTTTACTTATCAATTTCTTCTATCAGTTATTGTGAAATAAGTTTCATATGCTTTGATATGTTCACATATTCCCAGGATGAATTAAATGTGAGTTAAATTTTATCAGCCCCAAGCAAAATCAGGCTTTTTGCCGATTCTCTCCCTGCATCTTGAGATAAGTCAATATGATCCAGAGGTACATCATTTAGAGGTGTTGCTGTATTGACCTGTTGAAGCAAAAACAACAAGGAATCTTGTGGCAACCAGAACATTTTAGGGAGTTCACTGTTCCAAATACAGTAAACCTGCAGATAATCTGAGGTGATCACTAAGAGAATAATAAGAGGGTATAGCTGATATATCTTTGAACTTCATCTGGAAAAGAATGGTACTGTTGTAGTAGCAATTCTAAAATAGTATTTAGATCTTGGATTTTAGATCCTTTATATACCTCAGACCTTCCTGTGCTTGTAGATCTTATTACTGACTGCATCCTCTAGTACAGTGGTTCTTAACCTTTGGTCTTATTACTGACTGCATCCTCTAGTATTTGCTAATGATATGTTTGATTTAGATTATTTAAATAAAGATAAATATAGAGACCAAATTGGTACCAAATTGCTAACATGCGCTGGATTATGGAGAAAGCTAGAGACTTCCACAAAAACATCTACTTCTGCTTCATTGACTCTGCAAAAGCCTTTGACTGTGTGGACCACAGCAACCTATGGCCAGTTCTTAAAGAAATGGGAGTGCCTGACCACCTTATCTATCTCCTGAGAAACCTATACGAGGGACAGGAAGCAACAGTTAGAACTGGATATGGAACAAGTGATTGGTTGAAAATTGGGAAAGGAGTACGACAAGGCTGTATATCGTCTTCCTGCTTATTTAACTTGTATGCAGAATACATCCTGCGAAAGGCAGGACTGGATGAATTCCACGCTGGAATTAAGATTGCCGGAAGAAATATCAACTACCTCAGATATGCAGATGATACCACTCTGATGGCAGAAAGTGAGGAAAAATTAAAAAACCTCTTAATGGAGGTGAAAAAGGAGGGTGCAAAAAACGGGCTGAAGCTCCACATAAAAAAAACTAAGATCATGGCCACGTGTCCCATCACCTCCTGGCAAATAGAGGGGGAAGATATGGAGCCAGTGACAGATGTTACTTTCTTGGGCTCCCTGATCACTGCAGATGGAGACAGCAGCCATGAAATTAAAAGACGGCTGTTTCTTAGGAGGAAAGCGATGACAAACGTAAAAAAGCAGAGATATCACCTTGCCGACAAAAGTCCACATAGTCAAAGCTATGGTTTCTCCAGTACCGAAGTATGGAAGTGAGAGCTGGACCATAAAGAAGGCTGACCGCCAAAGAATTGATGCTTTTGAACTGTAGTGCTGGAGGAGACTCTTGAGAATCTCCTGGACTGCAAAGGGAACAAACCAATCCATTTTGAAGGAAATCAATCTATATGTGGGACAGGAAAGTGAGGAGAAATTAAAGAACCTCTTAATGAGGGTGAAAGAGGAGAGTGCAATAAACGGTCTGAAGGTCCACATCAAAAAAACAAAAAAAAAAAAAAAAAAAAATAAACGGTCTGAAGGTCCACATAAAAAACAAACAAACAAAGATCATGGCCATTGGTCCCATCACCTCCTGGCAAATAGAGGGGGAAGATATGGAGGCAGTGACAGATTTTACTTTCCTGGGCTCCATGATCATTGCAGATGGTGACAACATCCATGAAATTAAAAGAGGCCTGCTTCTTGGGAGGAAAACGATGACAAACCTTGACAGCATCTTAAAAAGCAGAGACATCACCTTGCCGACAAAGGTCAAAGCTATGTTTTTTCCGGTAGGGATGTATGGAAATAAGAGCTGGACCATGAAGAAGGCTGTTCACCGAAGAATCAATGCTTTTGAATTGTGGTGCTGGAGGAGACTCTTGAGAGTCCCCTGGACTGCAAGGAGAACAAACCTATCAATTCTAAACGAAATCAACCCTGAGTGCTCACTGGAAGGACAGATCCTGAAGCTGAGGCTCCATTACTTTGGCCATCTCGTGAGAAGACTCCCTGGAAAAGAATGTGATGTTAGGAAAGTGTGAAGGCGAGAGTATACAAATGTAAAGAAGTATACAAATGTAATAAAAATATTAAACATTGTATTAAAAATGGTAAATAAAATCGTTTGTCACCATGGCCAGATCAGAGCTCTCCAGGAACAAAAATAGCTGGCACACTAGTTTTAACTGCGCAAAGATGGGGTCAACCTGACTTCCCATGGGAGGGAGTTCCAGAATCTGGGAGCAGTGATAGAGAAGGCTCTCTCCTGTGTCCCTACCAAATGCATCTTATGAACTGAGAGAAAGGCCTCCACTGATGAGCTTAACACCTAGACCGACTTGTGAAGGGACATTTATTAGAGATAGCTTGGACCCAGGCTGTTTAGGGCTTTATAAGTTGAAACCAGCACTTTGAATTGTGCCTGGAAATGGATTGGCAGCCAGTGAGGCTGCTGTAACGGGGGTTGTATAATCCCTATAACCATTCCCAGTTAACAATCTGGCTGCGGCATTTTAGACTCACTGAAACTTTCATCCTCTGTACATAGGCAGCTCCACATAGAATGTTTTATTCCAACCAGGATGTAACTAAGGGATGTGTCATCATGGCCAGATCAGACCACTCCTGGAATGGATGTGGCTTGCACACTAATTTTATGAATCAAAATTAGTGCCTTTTCAAATTGTGCACTAATTTTATGAATTAAAATTAGTGCACAATTAAAAAAGGCACTCCTGGCCACTGCTAAAACCTGGGCATCCAGGCTCAGAGATGAATCCAGGAGGACCCCCAAGCTGTGTAGCTGTGTTTTCAGAGGGAGGTAACCCCATTCAGCACAGGCTGCATCCATATTTCCTGTTTCTTTCCCAACAGACTACCTTTGGTTTTGTAAAATTAACTCATGGTTTGATTAGAATATGTTATTTTCAACTTGGAAAAGCAGAATACAGTTTTATTCACATTGTAAGGGTAGTAGAATCATGCTATACTTACTTGTACTATCTGTAGGCACAACTCGCTTCAAAAAGAAAAGGGGCATATTTTACAAGAGTTTGAAGGAAGCATTCAACAGCTGCAAAGTAAATATGATGCTGACCTCAAGCTGATGAAACAGGAACATGCTCTTTCTGCAGCAAAGGTATGTTTAGATGTATGTAATCATAAAAACAGATAGAAAGGCTTGCTTATTAACAATATATAAGAAATAAACGTTTTCAGTATGAACTTCTGGGGTATTAATCTTTCATACCCTTGCATATATATATGAATTAACACTGACTTGTTTAACTGGGGTTTCTCATTTGCCTTAATGTATTTACATGCACACATATTGACAAGCCTGAAGTCTAAACTTGCTATGTTACATTTTTAAGTGAGTAGTTTCTCTGAGATACACGCACTATTTAATCATGTTCCATTAGTATTTTAGGAAAAAAACACACACATTCAATCAGTGATAATAATAGTATTTGTATTTTAAGGACAAATAAAATATTCAGTGCTTAAGTTTAAAGTGTTCATATCTTTTACAAGTAGATCATCTGTCCCCAACATCTTTTTAATTAGCTCTACTTTATTTTACTAAATGTCTTTTAAAGTATAACTTTGAAAAAAGGAAAAGTTTTTTTTCTGCCAGAGTTAAGGCAAGACGAATGTTGGCTTTCTGTTAAATCCCTACAGGCATCTGATGTGATTGAAGAATTAGAACAGTGTGTGTCTCAATTAAAACAACAGTTACTAGAATCGGAACATCAAAGGCAGCAACAGCTGAGGGTGAGCCCTGATTTTTTCACTCAGGAAAAATGATGAGCCCTTTTAACTTCTTCTTGGGATTTGTATGACTAGAGTGCTCAAGTAAGAGTTTCTGGAGTTCTTGGTAATATTATCAGCCAGTCATTCAACACCAGAAATAATGGAATATGTTCTAATTTCTGGTTAAACCCTTTAAAGCAACTTGGGGGCTATTTGTCTTATTTCTTTTCTTATTGAACTGATATGAAAAGCGTATATATCAGTGGATTAAAGAAAAGGATACAGTGGAGTTGAAAGTAATCCTTATGTCTGTCTTACGTAGTGATAGTTACATTTGTATAAATTGGTATATTAGCATAAACTTGTCACGTTGCTGCTATATTTCAAAGAACTCAGTAGTATTTTGCTGCCTTTTCCTTTCTGTCCAATTTATTTTTTGCTCCTATTCTTTTTCTCATCCCTTAAAGTATGTTCACTGCATCTTCTTCAGAGCTCCCCGTACCCATTTTTGGCTCTTTATCTGTGATTCACCCTTTATTGTGAATTGTGTAATGCTTAGAAGGCTGGTGTTTATCATGTTCTTTGGAACACTTGGAAAGTTAAAAAAAGGAGGGAATGAAGTCAATTTCTTCTATATTTTCTCAGGAATTATTTTAATATTTACTGGTCTGGATACAATATTGTAGGTTACAATGTTACTTGGAATACTTGCTGGTGGTGGTTAGGGTACGTGGCATGACGGTCACCATTTTCCTGTGGCCGGGAGTTGCCTTCCCAGATATCTCGGTGGCTTTCATGGCCTTTTCCAGCTCAGGAACTCCAGACCAGTCACTTCCCTGGTGATTCCCCTTCATGAGGGCCTGGAATGCCACTGGCATGGTCCCAGCCTGGGAAGCTGTTCGCTCTGCTCCATGGAGAGGCCACACACTGGTGAACATCCACATGGTTAAACTTGGTCCTGGTCACCTGGGTTCACCATCAGCCAGCATTTGGGTTGGCTGATGTGGATCCGTCCTCCATGCTAGCATGACAACTACTGGCAAATGTTATTGATAAAGTTGTGGCCTGTTTTCCCCCAGTGTTGGTGTGTTTGTATGTGTGGGTCTTTCATGCCCCTGCCATTATCCAGCTCAGATAGCAGGTAGACTGCTGAATTTTCTTGATTTTCCTGTTCTGCTAGAGCCTTACACTGCTCAACTGTTAGGCGCTCCTGGGGAGGGATGCAAGGGATGATTGGAGTAAACTGAGAAAGGTCCATTGTACGCCATGGGGCTCTGTGATCCGACCTAGTGTATATTGTTCAGATGTATCAGCTTGCAATATTGAGGTTGTGGTGTCTGGTACAAAGACCGTTTCTGTGTGTTTGTAACAGAAATTAATGTGCACTATCCTCATGGGAAGATGACATTTTGAGCTAAACTTCCTACACATTTTCTGGATTAATTTTTCTTCTGTTGTAAAATTAATTTTTCTACTTTCCTAAAACCGCCTTCTGTTCTTCTCATGATAGTTTATGGATCTTGATAAGAGCTTGTGGATCATGGAATATGATTACTAGTTTCACTTTCTCAATTTTCCAGGACCAGGAGCAGAAATTTCTACAGCAAAAAGGTCATTTGGAAAGATCTCATGAAAAAAAGGTAATAAGCAGGAGGGTCTTCCTTCTTTCCTTCCTCCTTGTCCCCCATGTGTTTCTGTGAAAGTACAAGCACTCCCAGTTTATAAATCATGGAAATATTGGGAAAAACAGAACATAGAGGGGGCAAAATATTAAAAACTTGTGTAAAAGAAAACTTTTAGCAACCTGTTTTTGACAGAATTGTGTTGTTACCTTGGTTTGAATTGAACTTGAAAGTATTTCTCTGTCTAGAAATTCATTTCATCAAACAATGTCAAAGTTTACTTAGTGGAAGTGAATTTTTAGACATAGTGCAAGGGAGGGATCCAGTATGATTTTTATCCAGCTGGCTGCATAGTGCAAGTTATATGAATATTCTTTCTTTCTTTCTTTCTTTCTGTCTGTCTGTCTGTCTGTCTGACTGACTGACTGACTGACTGACTGACTGACTGACTGACTGACTGACTGACTGACTGAGAATGTTAAAACAAGCAATACTAAAATCACAGTAAATTACAGATAAAAAAATCAGTTAATAAAAAACATTTAAAACTTTAAAAACAAACTTTAAAAAGCAGAACACCGGCACCCAGGGACTCAGTACATAATTGTTAAAAGCCTGCCTGAAGAGTTTGGTCCCCAGCTCTTTGCAGAAGGATAAGAGAGGGGTCCAACCTTATCTCCTGAGGGAGACTGTTCCACAACCTGGGAGCAGCCACAGAAATGGTCTTCTCTTACGTTTTCATTGCCATCACAGGTGCATTTGTTGGAGACAAGAGAAGGGCTTCCTCTGCAGTTTTTAAGGGCTTAGAAGTCTCATATGGGTCGATACAGTCCTTCAGATAGCCTGAACCCCAACCTGTGTAGGGCTTTTTAAGTAATAAACAATATTTTGAATTGGGTCTGGAAACAAACTGGTAGCCAGCATAATTGTAATAGCAAGGGTGTTATATGTTCCCTAAAACTGACACCAGGCAGCACCCTGGCAACTGCAGTTTGAACCAGCTGAAGTTTCGGGACCATCTTCAAAGGCAGCCCCACATAGAGCGTGTTACAGTAATCGTGTGTATCTTGTGTTACCCACTCATATTCTGGTTAAATCTAGCACAGTCTGACTGTCATACTTTTTCTGTCTACGAACATCACATAGGATCTAAATCTTGGCTAAAAAGGTTGATAATACTTTTTCATTTACTTAGATAGATTTGTTTATTTGTTTAAAATATTTTTACTCTGCTTTTCTCCTTGAAAGGGACCCAAGGTGGCTTACAACATTGAAAGACAGTATCTGAAGTTGAAAACAATGAGTACACAGCAGTGGTTAAAATAATTAAAAGATAATATTTAAAGCTAGGAACAATGAGTAAAGAGGAATCTTACATTGTTAAAAGGCAGCATTAAAGCTAAAAACCATAAGTATGCTTAAAAAAATGCCACTCTGAGAAATCCAGAATACAAAAATAGAGAATACAAGTAGTACCAAAAATCCAGTCAAAGCAGTAATGCAAAACAATCCATCTAAAAAAAATCACACACAGGTATCTAGTTACTGAGGGGAGGCTTGCCTGAAGAGAAAGGTCTTTGCCTGCTTGTGAAAGGACTACAAAGATGGGGCCGGTCTGGCCTCATGTGGGGGGGGGGAGAGTTCCAAAGTTTGGAATCAGTAACAGAGAAGGCCCACTCCTGTGTCCCTATCAGATGCACCTGTGAAGGTGGAGGGACCAAGAGATAACCATCTGAGGTATATCTGAGGTAGATCAGATCAGAATGCCTGTCGTGGCTGCATTTAAGAACTTTCAATATTTTTTTCAAGTTATTACAGCTGTAAGATTTTAAATGCTTATGTAACGGGCAGCCAAAACATCACCTGTCCGTCACAGCTGGGCAGTGAGTCATCAGCCAATGGTGTGACGGAGGGTGGAACTTAAGGGGAGGAGCTAGTATAAAAAGAGGGGTGAAGAGTGTGTGAGAGCAAATGAGAGTCTGAGCTTTTTAAAGTAAAGTAGCAACCACTCTCTGAGGTTTGAGGGTGGCTGTTACAGCTTAATTGACAGATTTATAAGCTAAAACCATAACTACAGATTAAATTTTGTATTGCCCATTATCAATAATTATTGGGAGAGAGAGTGAAGGAGTCAGTGTTGCTTATGCCACTCAAGTTTATCTTAACTACTGTGTTTGATTAAAAAAGAATAAATGGGTTTCTCACAGGCTTTATACTTATACTTTTAATTTTAATTGTACTCCTTCATACCCTGTCATCCAGATTCACTGGTTACTCCAAAATAGAATACATAGCATGTCTTTTTCACAGATGACTTTTTCATACAATGTATTGAGGAAACAATAGAGGATACAATCATGTATGGAGATGTGTCCTTCTGATGGTTGAACTCTTGTTAGGATTATTGTTCAGATCCCCAAAAATGTATCTACCAAAATTAATGAAAATATTATGGCATGTTAATGACTAATATGTTTTATTGGTGTTAGCTTTCATGTAGTGCTGATGCATTGTTAAGGTGCTACAAGAGTTTTAGTTGGTTTTACTGTAACAGATTAATACATCTCCCGCTCTGGAAATTTCTATGAAAACAGTATATAGTATTCACACATCATGCTGTTGTATGTATCTTTCCCTGCAGCCATGTAAGCAAAAGTTGTAGAATGTAAATGCATTCTGAAGGAGGGGCATTTAGTAAGGAAGTGGTTAGAGGCATTCAGAGCCAGAAAAAATATTTAGGGCCCTAAGGATTTTCTCTAAATCCATTAAGAACGCTGTACTTTCTTTTAGACTGTATAAGATGTTTCATACAGTAGTGCCTTAACTTACGAACTTAATCCGTAATGGAATGGTGTTTGCAAGTCAAAATGTTCGTAAGTCAAAGCAGCATTTCCCATAGGAATGCACTGAAACCCGATTAATCCGTTCCGGCTGTTTTTTGTTCTTATGTTAAGGCACAGTTTGTAAGTCAAAGCATTAGTCCCCATAGGAATTAATGCAAAACCAGTTAATCCGTCCTCTACCACTAGGGGGAGAATTTTTTTTAACCTAAGATGACTTACAGTGGACCCTCGACTTACAGACGGCTCGACTTACAGACTTTTCGAGTTACAGACTTCTCTGGCTGCAAAATTTAGATTCGACTTGCAGCCAGAGAATCGACTTACAGACCAGAAAAAAACCAAAATGGAATAAAAATAGAATAAAAACCACTGGTTATGGGATTAATCGGTTTTCAGTGCATTGTAGGTCAATGGAGATTCGACCTACAGACTTTTCGACTTGCAGCCACCATTCCAGTACGGATTAATTCCTTAAGTAGAGGGTCCACTGTAGTTTTTAAAAGGCAGGAAAGGAGAGAGAGTGTGTGTGTGTGTTTGGAGTCTAAAACACATGCTAAACCAAACAAATTTTATACCAACACATTTTAAGCCAAGCCAGCACAGACCCTTGCAAAAACTTTTCTGTTTGACAAGGGAAGCATGCAGGAACCATTGCAAAAGCATAGAAAACAGACGGAGCAGATTAGAAATGCAAAGAGAACAAAGCAAAAAAGCATGAAAGACACATTGAAAATGGGAAAAAGAACTCAAAAACAACCAAACCCCCCAAGACCCATCAGAAATAGGGGGGAAACACAAATTCCCCAAGACCCATCAGAAATGGGGAAAAAAACACTCCAAACAGGAACCAAACCCGCCATCAGAAATGGGGGGGGGGACAAAAAACAAACACCCTCCCAAGACCCATCACAGCATGGAAACATAACCCCCCAGTTGAAAATCACGCTGCAAAAATACCCAGACCAGTTTTAAAAAGTACAAAGCAGCATCTTACCTTAGCAGGCAGCCTTCTCAGATCGCACACTCTCTAATTGTGGCGAAAGAGCTACAAAGAAGCAGCCTCGTCGCCACCCACAGTTAGCTATTTGAATTTCCTGTCCTTTCCCCCTGCCTTTTTCTGTTCATAAGTCAAAGCTCCGTTTGCAGGTCAAAGCAAGATTTTGTGAACGGAGCTGTTCATAACTCAAAACGTTCATAGGTCAAGGTGTTCGTAAATCAAGGCACCACTGTATCTGTGCAAAATTCTTCATGCTTCATGTCTGTGTATTCTGTGCTGTCAAGTAAGAACTGATTTATAGTGACCTTGATAAGGCTTTCAAGGTGAATGAGATACTTAAGGAGTGGTCTTACCAGTTCCATTACCCCAGTTAGTTTCCATGGCTGAAGGAGGGATTTGAATCCTGCTCTCCAGAGTCATAATCCATTACTCCATCCATTGCACCACACTGGGAATTTAGTGTGCTTTATAGACCAGACTATTTTGCCTATTTATTAACAGGCTGAGGTCAGTCTGTGTTTCAAAAGATTTTGTCTTGTCACGAGTGGTAGACACCACATTTGTTTTAACAGAAGGTAGCAAAAGTACTATTTTGATATTTCACCCAATCTGAAGAAAGGAGAAGGCTATCCATAACATCTTGTAATTAAAACTGGCAGATTTATTAAACCAAGAAATTTCAAAGATCTCTCTGCTGGGGGAATTTTACCTGACTTCATAGTGTCAGGGGTTCCACATTCTATACCTTTTGTTTTTCAGAAGGCACATTGATACTGTCTCTAAATGAATTTGATATTTGTTTGTTGAATTGGGCTCAAGAGGATGTTGGTTAGCCATCACTCCTTCAAATTAAAAGGCATTGAAATTGTTCAGCACCACTGCTGTGATGTTATCAAGAAACAAACATTTAAAATTCTGTTGAGTGGGCACTGTACAGCTCCATGTAGACTCTTGAATGTCCTTAAATTAAGTGTATATGTGTTGTCCTTTGTGTGCCAGCAAATTGCTGACTCTCTGTATGCTGCAGGCAGATTGAAATCAATGCAGGCAGTAGTTACCATCTGGTCTAGGAGAAGGTGTTTGCTTCAATAAATGATTTATACACAAATAATTAAAAGTAGTCATTTAGTCCTTACTCAAGGTACAGTATTTGCTTTAGTGGAAACTATGCTGTGACACAAATATGGTATTGTCGTTATTTTTATTTATTTTAAAACTAGGAATATCCACTTGATACTTCAGTGTTTCTAAATTTTCAGCCAGTGCAATGACATGAGCCTGCCGTAGATTCATGGGCATCTGAACTCAATTGAGAAGATAAAACAGCATTAAGGTGTGATCTGCAATACGTGGAATCATTAAAAACATGTGTGCGTTGCACGTTTTGACTCTGCTGGACCAATAAAGAAAAGTTAGTTTCAGAGTAAAAGGCCCTCCACAAAGCAGAACAGTTAGCAACCAAGTACTGCAGTCATACCACCTAATATTTATGTCTATCAATTATTTTAATCTTTTAAGGGAAGAATAGATAGTATTGAATAGCAAAAATCTATTCTTGATCAAAATTGCCAGGAATGATGATCACAGTTGCTACTGCTCTAACACTACCTTTACATGTGAGGTGGCAAAAGGAATGCAATCTTTATAGCAGGTTTCAGTACACATTAATCAATAGAAAAAACATGTAAAATGCATAGCTCTCAATGTTTTATTTTATGGCTTTATGTTTACATTTCCTTCAACTTCATAGGATTGACTGGTGTTAGCCCATTCAGCTTTGCAGTTCTCTCCATTCCTGTTATGAGCAAAGTGTTTCCATATACTCATGTTCAGTGCTGATTATCTTTTGTATGTAAAATATAAAAGTTTTTCAATGCAAAATTTAGCATGATTGGGGTTTTTCTATTTGTTTGTTTAAATTGCCTTAATACAGACCACACTAATTATGTGTTCTCAGGGGTGTTTGATTAATCCCTCTTTCCTATTAAAGAAAATAAATTGAATGAGATGCTCACTGTGCTTTAAGAAACCATAGTTGTGCTTTCGTAATTTTTCCTGTTATACAGTGATAGTTTAGGAGCCCTCAGGACCTTTTCATTACTTGTTTACTTTTAATATACTGACAGTGTGATGTCTTTAATCTGAAAAAACAGATTTGGAATGAGAAAACATATAAAATATTTGTCAAGAAATCATACTAATTAAACAATACTTAACACATGACTGTTTGATTAATTGATGAAATATGAAACTGTTACTTCAGTGGAAAAATATTTATTTCTTTTATCCAAAGGCACTTGACTCTAGAATTCTCTATGGGACATAGGGAGGAATGCCTCCTGAGTTCTACCTTTAGTGATCACAGCAATTTGTGTTCTGTATACCTGTACTGAAATCATTCCTAAATCTGCCTCCCTCCCTCTAAAATATTTTTACCTTGTCTTTCTCCTAAAAAAAGACCCAAGATAACTTACATAATTAAAAAAGACAATATTAAAAGCTAAAAAGTGTAAGTTATTTGAATATTTAAAAAGAATTAAATAAACATTATATTAAAATATTAGATAAAAGTTTTACTAAAACACTTTAAAGAAACAAAAATACAAACCTTTCCCCACTTACCAAGCTAATAAAGATGATTAAGGCTTTAGATCATAATGCATCATTGATTAGATGATGAAATGAGTTTGGAGTCAGGGATAGATTTAGTTTTTCAATCACTGTTTTATCTATTTGTAGTTTATTTAACAGTGGTTTGTATTTAGGACACACAATATCTAGCTGTACTAATATTGGAGTAATATAACACTCATTAAAGTTTTTCAATTGAAATCTTTAATCTGCAATCTGTGTAGGCACTTAATCCATTCTGCCTAATTATTTAGTTCTTTTTATCACATCAAGAACATGTTGTATACCATTTTTAACATCCCGATTGTTGAAATGTTTGAGAGTTTATACACATAGCAGTTCAAGTATAGTATGAAAAACCACACAAATTGTTTGAATGGTATTCTTTCTTGTGTGTGCCAGTAGTTGAAATAGTGTTCATTTAGTATTGGTGAAACTTTAAAGAACGTTTACTGTATAAATTATGAAGAAGAATAAACCAACAATGCTTATAATAGTTTCATAATCTATTCATATTAGTAACAGACAAGTAGCCCAACAGAACAAGTAGCACAAACAGACTAAACAGAGCAAGCAGACAGACTAATCAGAGTAAACTTAATCCTAACTGTCACTTCTTTTTCTGCCTATCTGACAGTTAACCTACTTAACACCCATTGGCTAACATCAGACAAAACTGATTGGTTACATAGATGCCATAATGCAAATAATATATCCCAATCATTCCCATACACACACATACAAATACATGCTGGGTTGCAGAACTATATATTCCAACATACATTTCACCTATGCTAGCAGAAAAAATAGCAGTAGTTTACATTCAGATTATCCATAGCGTTTTGTAATTTGTGAAAAACTGTGGTGCAGTTGTTCAGTTTATGGCTTTGTATGCAAAAGGACTAAGTTTGAATTCCTGACACTTTCAGTCAGGTAATGTGAGAGAGGCTTGTTCTTGACCTCTTCAGGAACCACTGCCACTTAAAGTAGAAAACACTGGACTACAGTGACAAGTAGTGTAATTCAGTGCAGGGGAGCTTTCTTCATGAGGTGCAATTTGTCTCCCCCCCCCCCGATTATTATAATGTAACTTATGCAATTTGGCATGTATTGTTTGAAGTGGTGCCGATACTGTCATAGAGACTGTCCATAGTTCAGTGTATCCTCAGCCATTAATTGTGTATGTTTGCATGCAAATAGCGCTTCAGTTACTGTTTTTGATGTGGCCGTTTCTGCTTCTGAAAAGACAAGTAACTAAGTCTTCAGGTTGAGAAATGGCTTTTCAGTTCAGTATAACAAATAGCTGTGGTTAAAAAAAATCAAATTCATGAGTTTGAATGGTTCTTTTCTGTGCTTACAGTAATCGCTTGACGATTACCCCACATTACGACAAATCCGCTTCACAACGATGTTTTTGCAATCGCAAAATGATGTTTTAGATGGGTTTTTTCGCTTTGTGAAGATCGGTTCCCTGCTTCGGGAACCGATTCTTTGCATTACGACGATCAAAACAGCTGATCGTCGGGTTTTCAAAATGGCCACCGGGTGCTCAAAATGGCTCCCCGCTGTGCTTAGGGATGGATTCCTCGCTATACAGGCACCGAAAATGGCCGCCGTATGGACGATCTTCGCTGGATGGTGAGTTTTTAGCCCATTGGAACGTATTAACTGGGTTTTAATGGGTTTCAGTGGGTTTTTAATTTTCGCTTTATGACGATTTCGCTCTACAGCGATTTCGCTGGAACGAATTAACGTCGTTAAGTGAGGCACCATTGTATATAAATCATTTATTGCTCAATCAAAAGATCATTGCACTGCAATATTAAACTACAATAAAATAATACACAAAATTTGTTACATCAAAATTGTCACCTGGATTTTATAACACTTCATACCAAAGATATCCATAGGTCTCTATACTACATAATAAAAAATAAAATAACAAAATTATAAAATACATTTTTGATCTTTACTAACACTCAGGAGACAATAATATAACATTTAGGAACATTTAGCATAATAGGCTTACATTCACGTCTCTGAATCTTTATAACAGTTTATACAGATAGTGTCCAGATATTTTACTCTACCGGTAGTGTACTGTACTTACACATTGTAATTGTGTTTGCATGTTACTACTACTCTCAAAAAGAGGTAACTGATTATGTATGATTTAGCTGATGAGTTTAAGGCAATAGTCTTGTTACACAGATCCTTAAATTCCAAGCTAGCTTTAGCCTGTCATTTTTATTTTGTTTATTTTTGAAACTTAATTATGAGTGTTGATCTGATAATTAACAGAAATTAACAACTTTCTCAACAATATTTCCTGTATTTACAATACAATACAATACAAAACTAACTGAAACCAATGTTATCATGTATTAGAAAGTGTTAACAAAATATTATGACTTGGAAGCTAATAGGATAAGCAAAATGATTTTAGAATTTTTATCTGCTACCTAAAAGGCTAGTTTAGCTTTCCCAGGGACTACAGAAGAGGTTCTAATCAGAATAGCTCATGTACTTGGGAAAGAAATATGGAAGAAGATGTTCCTGAGAAAATTGATAGCAATGATATTTATGACTGTAAAAGAAAGAACTACCAGTACTGAAAATAAATCGACAGCCGGTGAGATATCCGAAGATATGTGGCACTATTGGTCTTTATATGTTAACAGACATATTGCCCCTTTCTGCCTCATCCAACTTTTCTAAGCTGTATCCGGAAACAGATCCACATTGGAAGTTATCAAACAATTTATGACATTGACCATGTCAGAGTTCTTTGAGTGTGTGGTTCCTAGATTGTAACTTCCCCCATTTTTCAATGTTAGATTCATGCGTTGCAGAATGACTTTGAAAAAGAGAAGATGGATTTTCATAAGAGAATACAAAAACTGGAAGACATTCAGAGGTAAGTCAAATGCCTGATAACTGCTTTCTGTCCTTTCTGGTTTTCAAAGAGGTACCCATTTTAGGTTGTTTCAGCTAGTACAACAAAAGTAGGAACAAATACTGTGGCACTGAAAAACTGGCAGATTTATTCAGTGTGAGCTTTTGTGGATTACATTCCACCTCTCGAGATACTGTACATTTAAAATAATAGGCCATAGACTGTACTGTTTTTCTGTAAAGCTGCAGTTTAAATCTTATGCTCCATGTCTCTGAGGAAGTATATTGTAAATGTTCATATCGGAACAAATTTATTAGAAATGCTCCAGTACTCTTATTTTTATTTTTGTCATATTTTCACATGGTCTCCGTGATTCACACAAAGGCACCATGTGTGATTCCAGAGCCACATACAGAATATTCTACAGCTGAATAGCTTTGGAAGGATACCCTGCCTCTACCTTCTTACTGTGCATATCTAGATACATTGTACTGTAGTACCTTGTCCTTGGTTCGTTATTGTGCTAATAGCATCAAAAAGGTGGTTCTTAGAGTGTTGTTCATTGATTGAATGGTATTTTCTTTTTATTTTGAATTGTTTTCCATATTTTTGTTAACATCTAAAAAAGTAATAAAACATATTTTCATGCTTAATTTCATGTCCTCTGTCTCCCTTTTCTAAAAGTATGTAGTCCATGGAGCCAACAGCATGCAACTGGCCCCTCAGATGGACACACTAGTATTTTATTTTGTTGGGATGAGAAACACCTTCTCGAATGCTGCAGCATTTTTCAAGTTTTTCCAAAGTCATCACACCATTGAATCCTGACAAGACAGAGATCCTATTATTGGATGGGAACCTGAATTTACTAGGAGACCTTTACCTGATCTATGTGGAGTCACACTCCTCTTGAAGGATCAGGTTCATAATCTGTTAGTGTTCCTGGACTCTGCCCTCTCAATGGAAATTCAGATCTCTACTGTGGCCAAGTCTGCCTTCTTCCATCTGAGACTGATTTCATACCTCTGCCCTTATCTTTTTGGGAAGTCCCTAATGACTCTGGTAATCTTGAAGATAGACTATTGCAAATACTCTCTGTGGGGGGCTGCCCTTGAAGGTGGTGTGGAAGTTGCATCAAACCTCTGCCCTTATCTTTATGGGAAGTCCCTAATGACTCTGGTAATCTTGAAGATAGACTATTGCAAATACTCTCTATGGGGGGCTGCCCTTGAAGGTGGTGTGGAAGTTGCATCAAGTGGAAAATACAACAGACAGGCTGGTATCAGGAACATCAAAATATGATCATATTTCATCAGTACTGGCATATTTGTGCTTCCTGGCCAAGTTTAAGCTGCTATCGTTGACATTCAAATCTCTAAATGGTTTGGGATCTCACTACTTAGAGCACCTCTTCCTCAGATTGATCCTCCATCCACCCTGTTTCCCAGGCTATGATGCTAAGAGTGGCCACTCCAAGGGAGCCCTAGAAATCCACTATTAGGACTGGGACCTTTCAGTGGTTGCTGCCATGCTCTCTTCCTGGTGAAGTATGGCAGGACCCAATCCTACTTGGCTTCAGGAAAGAATTAAAGACTTGGCTCTTTACTCGAGCTTTTCATATTCCTGCCCCTGTTTAATTTAATTAATTTTTTTGTTTTTATCTTTGTAAATTTTGATGGCAATGTCATAAAAATTACAAAATGTAATTTTGTAATTACATTTTACAAAAAATTACAAAATGTAATTTTTACATTGTAATTTTTGATTTTGTGATTTTATTGGCTGATTGCCTGGTTTGTTGCCATCTTGTACCTTAGTATAGATTTTATTTTCTATTTAAGCTGGGCTTTTGTCTGTTTTTTTTGTTTTTTGTTTTGGTCTAATGTCCTAATTGTTATTACTGTAAAACCCCTGTATCCACACAATACCCATGGTTCCTATCTTGATGTCGGGGCCCTCACCACTCTGGTCCATGCGCTTGTAATCTTGAGATTAGACTACTGTAATGTACTCTACATGGGGCTACCATTTGATGCGGAAGCTTCAAATGGTGCAGGACGCGCCAGCCAGAGTTCTTACTGAGAAAACATCAACATATCTCCCCTACTCTGGCTGCCTTGCACTGGCTGCCTGTTCATTTTCACATTGATTTCAAAGTATTAATGATGACATATAAATCTCTAAACGGTTTAGGACCTCAATATCTAGCAGAACGCCGCCTCCCACCCAGATCTAGCTGAATCACTCACTTTAGCCAGGATGGGCGACTGAGGGGCCTAACACTGAGGGAGGCCTGAAGAGAAAGAACAAGAAAGCAGGCCTTCTCGGCAGTGGCTCCTCGCCTCTGGAACAATCTCCCCTGAGAAATTTGCCTGGCTTCCTTGCTGGGTGTTTTAAAGAGCCAACTTAAGACCTGGCTCTTTAGGCAGGCTTTCCCTCCAATACCTAATTTATTTTGCCATCTTCAATTGTATTAATGTTTTATTTTATTTTACCATTATTTGGAGTGTTGTGAGCCGCCCAGAGTAGACTTCGGTTTAGATGGGCTGGGGATGGATGGATGGATGGATGAATGAATGAATGAATGGTTTTGCTTAACTGCAGGTGACTGATTAGCTCTCCTCTTACTACATCTCAATTCCTTGGGTCCAGGTCAGATTTCAGAATTCCTGTCACTTAACTGCAGGTGACTGATTACCTCTCCTCTTACTACATCTCAATCCTTTGGGTCCAGGTCAGATTTCAGAATTCCTGGACCAGGTGGATGGCAGGGAAGAACTCTCTGCTAGGCTTGGCAGGAGATGGGATCCTTCTGGTTCCTTCCCTCTCATTCTGGCTCGCTCTCCTGGGCTTGGGCTCGGTTGGGCCTTCAGCTAGAACAAGGCATGGACGCTCCAACCTCAGCTTCTCCTGATAAGTCAAAATGGCTGAGATTCCACTGGGAAACAAAGAAAATTGATTGAAACAGGTGGCAGCACCAGTCCTGGGGTGGAGTCTGCGCTCTCTGGGCAGAGGCATGAGGCTCCCAACATGCATGGGGAAGGGGGAGGAAGAGAAGGACACAACCAGCTCCTGTCCTTTCCCTACCTCCATTTCTTGCTCTCCAACCCTCCCCCCCCCATCGATCCTTCACCTTCCCCAGGTAATACAGGGAATTCCCCACCAGATTTTGGACAGGAGTGCTTGTGCACATGCAAAAACATGAGTTGTCTTCATTGTTTGGCCTTAGTGTGGGGGGTGGTGGAGGGAGAGAGAGTTGCCAACACCACTTTGGTTTGTGATGGTTTAGCTGTCTATGTAGCTAAGTGGGGCAGCTGAACTCAAAGAGGATGGGAGGTACGTTTTTTTCTTAAACAATTGTTTCTCTGTGAAAATACGGGGTCCTATTATAATTGCTACGTGTTTGCTACTATCTGTGGTTTTCAGTATCCATGGGGAGACTTGGAACCAATTGCCCACAGAGTCAGGGGTCCTACAGTGGGGTCTCTACTTAAGAACTTAATCCGTATTGGAAGGTGGTTCTCAAGTTGAAAAGTTCTTATGTTGAATCTGCATTTCCCATAGGAATGCATTGAAAACCATTTAATCCGTATCTGCTCTTTTCCGTCCATAGAAACTACAGTGGAACCTCTACTTAAGAACTTAATCCGTTTTGGAACGGTGTTCTTAAGTTGAAACGTTCTTAAGTTGAAGCAAAATTTCCCATAGGAATGGACTGAAAACCAATTAATCCGTTCTGGCTGTTTTTTTATGTAGAGGTGCTTGGCCTTAGTGTGGGGGGTGGTGGAGGGAGAGAGAGTTGCCAACACCACTTTGGTTTGTGATGGTTTAGCTGTCTATGTAGCTAAGTGGGGCAGCTGAACTCAAAGAGGATGGGAGGTACGTTTTTTTCTTAAACAATTGTTTCTCTGTGAAAATACGGGGTCCTATTATAATTGCTACGTGTTTGCTACTATCTGTGGTTTTCAGTATCCACGGGGAGACTTGGAACCAATTGCCCACAGATTCAGGGGTCCTACATTATTGATTTTTAGTCTGGTTGTTGATGCTCTCATTGTAAGCCACCAACAGTAAGCTGCCTGAGTAGTGACCTGGCCACTAGATGGATGGGGTAAAATTGATTTAATTAATTGAATAAATGCATGAATAAACTGAGGTGTCTAGGTGCCAGGGCATCTTTAGATATGAGCAGTAAGGAGAGTGGGGTAAGGTTCCCTCTAAAAGCTACTCAGCTGTGGAAGATCGTGGCTGTGGCTCTGTATAGGGGCAAGATCCATTTGTATGAGTTCAAATATGACCACTCATAGAACTAAAAATGCAAATAAGCAACCTGTTGTTTCTGGAAATGTCTCTAAGGAAGATTTTGTTACAGTTTTATTGCTGATGGAGTGACTGCTACATTCAGATTGCATAGGTTTTTCTGTAACACATTGCATAGGTCTTTCTGTATGTTACTTATTCTGTGCATGAGGATTTTATTATGAGGATTATGATGTTAAAAGAAAGAGAGAGAGAGCAATATGTGATTTGTTCTAAGCATCAAGCATGAAAATTGGTATTCCGAGAATCAAACACAGAAGTCTTTGGATGTGGGCTAAACTAGTGAACTACACTTGAACTTTTAATCAGACTAAAAGATACAGTGTCCCAAATAATAGGGCTGAATTAAATGTTCAACCATAGCCAAATATTGATGTTGTTGGTTTTGGGAGCCAAAATTCCTCCTCACGATTGGAAAGGCAGTGGACTTTCCAGATACTTCCAGTATAGTATCATCACTCAAAGTGCAGTAAAGTCAGTTCTGACTTATGGCGACCCTTCTGAGGGTTTTCAAGTATAAAATATTTAGATGTGATATATCATTCACTTTTTATGAGAACACTCTAGAACTGTGTTTGCCCAAAGCCACACAGGCATGCCCTTCTCATGGGAGACACATCAGAGAATTGAAATCAAAACCCTTGGTTCCAAGACTAGGATGCTCTTACTCAGTATGCTATCAGTGAGCTGGGACAAGCTTA